GCCCGGGTCGGCGGGCAGGAGGTCCGCGTGGGTGAGTGGGGCCAGCCCGGGGACGTGGGGTGCCAGCAGAGGGAACAGCTGGGAAGGCAGATCCCCCCGGTCTGGGTGTCGGTATCGTGTTTTGATAACCAACACCGCCGTGACAAAGCTGGTGCCCTTCTGGGACAGAGTGACTGCCATCATCCCCCTGGGCTTGGCAAAGTGTAGGGCACTGTCCCCACGATGTCCTGGACTCCGAGCTGGAGAGACAGGGGTTGGATGGATGGGTGGACAGTCGGAGGATAAAGAATGGTATGGATGGACTCCACGTGGAGCCACTGGTCATGGCTCAGTGGGGCTGGGGCTGACACTGCTCAACGTCTTCATTGTGACACAGACAGTGAATGCAAATGTGGTCTGGTGGGGACCTGTCTGTATTCGGGCAGTTTAAGAAAGCCACTGTCCAGTAAGTCTGACACAGAGTCCAGTCACAGTATCAGTGCAAAGGAATCCCTAAGGAAACTGGCTCATTTGGCTTTGGGTACAGCACCATGTTTGGGTCCAGCTGACAAGAGGTGTGACTACACTGAGGTTCTTAACTGAAGCTGTGCCAATTTATACAGCAAACCAGAGCCAGATGTGAACCTACAAACCCAGTGAGAGGTGGGGGATCTCCACCTGAGGTGCCCCAACAGCTAAAGGCACGGCCGTGTCCAGGTTTGCCCCATGATTTCTGGTGTACACAGAACTTCATGGACTGGGACCTGTTTGCCTCTGGCTGACTTACCTTCAGCACTTCGGAATGATTCCTGCCCCTGGGAGAGCAGAGTCAGATGTCTGTGAGAGGCGCTGGAGCATGTCCCATGGCAGGGCCCCGACTGACCATCGCTGGGTCAGAATTCAGCATTGCCCAGCAGTTCCTGGAGTTTTAGGTAGTTTCCCATTGTCATCCCTAGTGACAGAGTGCCAGACATGGCTCTGTGCACTTCTGCCTGTCTTGGTCCTGCTGTCCCACACAACTGTGTCACTGGTGGCTTCTCCTTTGTTGTTGGCCAGTGCCAGCACTGCCCACAGGTGAGCCCAGTGAGAAAAGGTCCCAGTTTGGCACAACTTCTTAACCCTGATGTGTTTCAGATTGGTGAGGTGAAGCTCAATTTGTGTCTCTGAGCAGGCGGGCTGTGCTTTGCCTCCTGGGTGTAAGCTGTGAGAAGAACAGAGCTCGGTAAGTTGTGTCATTGTGAGCTGGTTCTGTGTTACAGATTTCTGGGACACGGCAGGCCAGGAGCGGTTCCGGAGCATGCACGCCTCCTACTACCACCAGGCCCATGCCTGCATCATGGTGAGGGGGTCTCAGCTGCACCGTGGGAGCTGGGTGCACAATGGTCTTAGTGACACCTGGCCTTTGTGTTACTTTGATGGTTGTACTGCCGTGTGTTCCTTGTCTCTTCCAGTGGTTTAAAAAACTTTCCTAGATGGTTCTTTCTTCTCTCACCAGATAAGCCCCCAGTAGATGGACTTGGTTAGCTCTGGTCTGTCTCTCCTGGTAACCCTTTTCCTCTATCCCCTGGCCCTGCTGTCTTCTCAATGTCCTCATGTTTGGCCCTGTTGCCAGTTTTGTTGGCTCCTCTCCTGCTCAGATCTCCTGGTTTGTCCTGTCACTCTCCACTGTTCCACCAGTAATTTTCATTGGTGGTTTAGTTGTCAGAACAGGAGGCCACATCTGATCCTGTTTGGCACAAGCTGTTCACAGTGCCAGCTCCCTGTGTGGGTGGCAGGGACTTGCCCAGGACACAGGACAGTGTAAAGGACATCGAGGGGCTGTTTCCTGCTGGCTGGGCTTGGCAATACTGTCCCTTTCTCTCTCACCCTTTCTAATAACGCCTAGTTCCCTTGGTCTTGTGTCCCTGAGAACATTCTGGATTGTGTCCTTGTGTTGGTCAGAGCTGTCCTGGGTCAGTCAGTGCTGGGCTGGCCCGGGATAAGTGGTTCTCTCTTGGAAGGTGTTTGATGTGCAGCGGAAGGTCACCTACAAGAACCTGAACAACTGGTACAAGGAGCTGAGGGAATTCCGCCCAGAGATTCCCTGCATTGTGGTGGCCAACAAGATTGATGGTGAGTGTGCCTTCTGCTCCCAGCTTGCCAGGGTCGTGCTGGGATTCGCTTCTGTCCTTACTGAGAACCAATGTCCCTTGTCTGTTGGGTCCAGAGGATTTCCTCAGTCCCCCAGGGCTGGGTCCTGTGCTGACCTCAGCTGCTGTCTTACAGGTGCTTGCCCTGTGTCACCAGCAATTAAAAGTGAAAATTTCATCCATTTCAGTTTTATTCAAGCGTTTTTCTTCTAGTTATGTTCTTATCACACTGCCTATTTTATCCATCAAGAGCCCAAAAGTGATTGGAGTAGCACCTGGTCAAAAACGGCAGCAAAAGGAAGCCAAAGCTGTTCTGTGGCTTCCCTGGATCAGTCAGGGATGGCCTTGGTGCTCCTTCAGCCTGCACAGACTCCTGTGTGCTGAAGAGTCTCAGTGTAGCTGCTGACAGAACTGTTCACCTGGCTCTGCAGGAGGCTGGAAGGTTTCTCCCATGGGGAATGCCAGGCAGCCCCTGGTGACTGCTGTCACAGGGCTGTGGCTCGTGTGACGTGCCACACAGAAGAGACCACCTTCTGAACCTCCTGCCATGTCTGACTGACCATGTTTTCTTTGTCTGCTTCAGCCGATATGAAGGTGACCCAGAAAAGCTTCAATTTTGCCCGGAAGTTCAGTTTGCCCTTTTACTTTGTGTCTGCTGCCGATGGCACCAACGTGGTGAAGGTGAGATGGGCGTTTGCCTGCTGGGCTTGGTGTCCACGAGGGCTTCTCTGGGCACAGAGAGCAGGAAATGGTCCATCATTTCAGCTCCATGTGAGTGGCTGGTGGCTATGGAGAGCTGCAGAGGGTTTTTTTTCCCCTGGGATGTGGGAACAGTCTCCATGTGCTACAGAAACCCAATGCCCATGTGCCCCATCCTGTGAGTGACAGCCTTGTCCTTGCCACCAGCTCTTCAACGACGCCATCAGGCTGGCTGTGGCTTACAAACAGCAATCAGGAGACTTCATGGACGAGGTCCTGCGGGAGCTGGAGGTAGGGAAGGCTCTGTCCCTGCACTGTCCTGAGTCCTGTCGGATGAGCAGTTTTCTACTCTTTTTCCCCCATGGCAAAGGGGGGAAACTGCAGCACGGGAAGCTTTGCCCTCTGCTGGGCTTTGTCTGCTGCTCAGTCTGGGCTGGGAGGGGGATGTGGGAACCATCCCGAGAGCTCTCACTGCCCTAGGTAGAGTCTAAAAGAGCCACAGCAGATACAGCTGTTGCAGTCTGTCTTTTCTCAGCAGTTCCTTGTCCTGCTCCTTTCCAGAGCTTTGATCTGCAGAACACAAGCAAGGATTTGCCAGACAAGGGGAAGAGCTGCACTGAAGAGGAGCCCTCATCTGCCTAGGCCTGGACCCTGAGCCTGTTTTCCCCTTGGCTCTGGACTTCTGGGGCCTGTGTGGAGGACAGTGATGCTTCTCATGCCCTAGAGCTGTGGTGATGGGCAGCCGGGCCTCTTCCCTTCTTGTGGGAGCTCACCTGGGCAGGATCTTCATTGGCTCGGCCCTCGCTGCTGCACATTTCACTCAGGAGAGGGATGGGAGGACCCACATGATTCCACATGGATGGTGGCTCATTCCCACTGCTCTTTCAGGACAGAGCTGCCTAGCAGAAGTGAGCCATCCTGGACCTGCACGAGGGACCCTGCCCAGGCACTGTAGTCGTACCTGCTGCAGAAAGCAAACACTAAAGGATATTTTTACAAAGCTATGGTGGCATCCTTCCCGCGCTGCTGCTGTAAGGAGGCAGGTCCCAGGTTGTTTAAGGCCACAGACCAGCCCCAGCCCGCTTCCAGCTGAGCCAGTGCTGCCTCAGTCCACCCATGACCTCTGCTGCCATCCCTGGGCTGCTGTCCCCATTCTGCCCCAGAACAGCCAGATCCCAGGGGCTGCTGAGCACAGGAGGCTTCTCCTTCCCGTCCAGCTGACACAGGTGGGCTCACACCCAGGGGCTGGTTCTGTCCCACCTTGTTGGATGTGGCCATGCCTCTTGTCTGTGTGTGCGTGTGTGCACAGGATGCTGCATTCCAGAGAGCTGGATACACACACACACTCTTAAAACAGTCATGGAATCATGGAATGGTTTGGTTCGAAAGGGACCTTAAAGGTCACCTCATTCCAGCCCCTGCCATGGACAGGGGCGCCTTCCACTATTTCAGGTTGCTCCAAGCCCTGTCCAACCTGGCCTTAGACACTTCCAGGGATCCAGGGGCAGCCACACCTTCCCCAGGCACCCTGTGCCAGGGCCTCACCACCCCCTTAGTAAAAACTCCTTCCCAGCCCCTCATCTCAGTCTCCCCTCCTCTAGATTTAACCCATTCCTCCTTGTCCTGTCATGGCCTGCCCATGCAAAAAGCCGCTCTCCCTCACTATTATAACCTGCTTCAATGCAAGGGGCACTGAGGTTTCCCTGGAGCCCTTTCCAGGCTGAAGAATGAATGTGAACAGCACAGCAGATGGACAGACAGAGCAGGGACTCTGCGAGCCTGCGGGTGCACTGAGCAGGGCTGAACACACGGGTAATGGCGAACACAGAAACTTTACTTCAACACCTCAGTCACGTCAGCATCGCTGTGGCTGCAGCGCAGCAGCGTGGGCAGGACAGAGAAGTCTCTGGCCCCAAGGCTGCCTTGGAGCTGCCGTGATCCACTGTAGCCCTGGATCCTGCTCATCCTGCTGCTGCTCAGGCTTTTTTGTCCTTCTAAAACTGCAGGAACTCCTGCACCAGATTCCAGAATTGCACCAGGATCTGGTGTGGGAATGCCATGGGCAGTGACGTGCCCGAGGATGTCACTGCTGGTTTCTTGTTGTACTCAGGGGTCAAGTTGATCTCTTCCTCTGGTTCCTCTGGTTCCTCAGGCTCCTTCTCGGGGGCCGAAGTGACAGGTGGCTCCGGTGCTGGACCAGCTCTTTCTGCAGGGCTCAGGCCCGTCTGGAGCAGGATCCAGTTGTAGAAGTGCTGAGTGGAGGTGTAGATCCCGGGGTGCCTGGCTCTGTCACAGCCTCTTCCCCAGCTGTTCAATCCCACCAGCCAGTAGTAGTCGGCTGCATTGTCCTTGCAGACGAGGGGACCCCCGCTGTCCCCCTGTGCCGGGAGAGATGGTTCAGGGACTGTGGGGGGCTGCTGTGGGGAGGGGAGGGGCGGACAGGGGACAGGCTGGGCTGCGTGTGGGGGATGAGGGGGTCCCTGCGCTGCCGGGGGCTGAGGGACTCATCACACGCTCCTACCTGGCAGGTGTCGATGCCGCCCTGTGGGTACCCAGCACACAGGTTGNATCCTGTATCTCCACACCCCACACAAGAACCGCAGTGTGTACTAGTCTGGGGGATGCCATCATGTCACCATGTCCTGTGTCCCTGTGTCACTCTGTCCCCATGCCCCATGTTCCCATGCTCTCAAGCCCCATGTCCCCACATCACATGATGTCCCTGTGTCCTGCACCCTGTGCCCACAACCCCACATCTGCAGACCCGGTGTCCCCGCGGTGCCCCCGCAGTGTCCCCAGGATGTCCCCGTGGTGTCCCCTCACCGCTGTCCAGCTCAGACACGTAGCACTCCTCCACCACCCCTGCAGGTGTGTGCACCTTGGCGTCGATGACGCCGCGCGCCCCGTTCAGCTGCACCGCAAAGGACGCTGGCTGGTTCACTGCCACTGTCTCCTGTGGGGACACCACAGTGGCATCAGGGACAGGGGGACAGGGGGACATCGTGAATGGTGCCGGCTGGGTCACCCCCGGGAATGAGGGGACAAGGCAGGGGGGCAGTGAGGCAGGGGGAACACTACGGGGCCCACAGGTGACACAAGGGTGCAGTGTGACACAAGGGACGTGAGACTGGCACCAGAGAGGGTCCCAAGGCTGGCACAGGGGGACATAAAGGTGGTCTAGGGGTGACGTGAGGGAGAGAGAGGTGGCTCCAGAGGGCCCAAGGTGCCACAGGAGACCCAATGGTGGGCATCCCACACAGTGGGCATCCCAAGAGTGCAAGAGGGGCTCAGAGCAGCCCAAGGGTGACCTGGGGACCCAGAGGGCATCCTGTGGCACATGAGCCCAGGGGTGCCCCAGGGTTCCACAGGGGCTGTCCCCTGCTGTACCTGCAGGCTGGTGACAGTGAGGCGTCGGGCATCATCCGAGTGGGAGGCGACAGGGACAATGAAGGGGCTGTCAGGGATGTGCTCCTCATTGAACTTGATGGACACCTCGTAGTCACCTGGGGGACAGGGGACAGTCAGGCAGGGAGCCCCCACCTGACACCTTTCCTTGGGAACACTGTTATGTGGGGACACCCATGCACAGAGACACCCTCCCATGGGGACACCTGAGCAGAGAGACACCTCTATTTGGGGACATCCTCCTGGGGGTATACCCTTAATTGGGGATACATTTGCATGTGGGTTCCTCCTCATATGAGAGTCGTGTAGCCCCAGCCCCAGGCTGAGCACCCTGGGGGATGTTAGGGGTGGTTAGGGTGGTTGGGGGTGTTGGGGTACAGCCCCTCTCACCTGGCTCCTGCACCAGGTAGGAGACGCCACAGGAGCCGTCCTTGCGGTCCTCAAAGGAGATCTCGGCCTTGCTGGGCCCCTCGACAGCGATGGAGAGTCCCCCCGCGCCCGCCTCACGCGTCCAGATGCTGAACTCAGCTGGGGGGGCCACCGGGGTCACCCTGGCCCTCGATGGCACCCCAGGATGGTGAC